TCAATGTAGAAGAAAACTTTAGTACCCAGAGCCTTAACAACATATATGTATGAGGGTAATTTGAAAAATTCATGAAAAGATTCATATTATCTTTTAATCCTATATTTCCATGAACTTTCTGAAGTACCCTGGTATATGACCCCCTGCCCCAAATACACAAACAGTATTACATTACATTTACTAGTCTGCACTTTGCTGCTTTTTCCCATTTACTATATCACGTAGATCTTCCCAGGTCAGCATATATAGANAAAGATATTTCTTCCATATAAATGCTGGTCTTGTAAGAACACTTGTTAGATTCAGACCATAGTCCAAATAAATCACTAGAAGTACACTTTTTAGGAAGATCATGTCATGTAATGCAGAACGTTTTGTGATAGGAATCAGCAGAGCTGATTTTCTCCTTTAAGATTATTGGTTATATTGCATTACTGTATTTCACAATGTTTACACAGTGTATTGTCACATTATATACAGATTATGAATTAACTGGAGGAGAGTTCGTGGTTCTCAATGGCCTCTTTTGGGAATTTTATTTTTTTCAGGGATGTAAAGACAGTGGGTGTGTTTCATGGACTTGATTAATACTTTCTAAAGTAGGCCTAGAAAATTATTTGTTAAAAAACACATTGTAGCAAGTGAGAAGTAGCAAGTGAGGGAACAATGCTCCTGTAGCTTCAAACCCAATAAGAAAAGATGGATGAAGATGACTTTATGGCTGATCAAGAAAGATGTTAATCAGGAAGGAAAAATAGGAAAAGATCAAAACATCAGGAAAAAAATTTTAAAAGACCCTAATTCTTTGAACATATATTTTATGACAAGAGCAGAAAGATTTATGTTCATGCGAAAAGATATATTGAATAATAAAAAACCATAAAGATGCAACAACAACAAAAAAATCGAAAAGCAAATGGAAATATTGTCTTTAAAGGATTAGAGAGCCAGTTGAGAATGTGAGAGTGAGGGGCATGATATAAAGGTACTTCAAAAAGTTTGCAGAAAAGTAGAATTAAAAGATAATACAAATCTTTCCACGAACTTTTTCTTTTTTCCATGAATGAATTTTTGAAGCACCCTCGAATTTTTGAAGCACCCTCGCACATAATAGGTGCTTGGGGAGAGGGAGGAGTTGCTAGGATGAGGCAGGAAGGCTCTGAAAGGGAGGTGGGATGTCTGCCAAGAATACACTTAAAACTTTTCCTGGACTTGACCCAGGTTCAGTTGGCCCAAGATCCGATGCCTTGCAGAAGTGAAGTGGATGGTAGCTTTTGTCATGGGAAAGATTTAAGAGACTCTGGAGAGACTACTCTAATTCACTGTATTTCTCCCAAATTTTACTTTTTCATTTCATCCAAAACTCTATCCATTTAAGCTTGCTTATGTTAACAAACTTTTTAAATTGCAAATACTCTTGGGAGAGCTGTCAGTCATTCACAATTTAGTAAGATCTGTATTCAGAATGCCTTCCTCCAAGCACTTAGGCTGAAATCAGCCACAGTGTGGTGGTAGAATTTTAATAAGCAGAGGCACGTAAAGTGAGGGAGTGCTGACAGCAGAGGAGGAAGAACAGAACATGGGATGGGGGGTGGGGCAAGCAACATGCTAAAATGGAGAGAGATTTATAGAATGCTGCCAAAGACCTTCCAGCTAGGTTTACTTCACCATTTTATATAGTTGGCCTGAAGGTTAATATTGGAAATAGAGCTCTGATTGCAACAGAGAATTAGAAGGTGTTCTTCTTGAACACTCAGAGAAAGTGTGGGTATTCCATTTCCTTACACTCTCCAGCAGAAGACAAAGCAGGAAACAAATGTGGCACTTACCTAGTTTGATCATAGAGTTGATAAACCTCTGGATACAGAACTAGAAAGGAACCAACCAATCTATAGTCAGTATTACTGAGCTGTGGCAACAATATAAAGAATTTAGAAGTCAAATTACAGAAATGTTCATCAGGAAGGAAAAATAGGAAAAGATCAAAACATCAGGAAAAAAATTTTTAAAGACCCTAATTCTTTGAACATATATTTTATGACAAGAGCAGAAAGATTTTTGTTCATGCGAAAAGATATATTGAATAATAAAAAACCATAAAGATGCAAAACAAACCCGAAAAGCAAATGGAAATATTGTCTTTAAAGGATTAGAGAGCCAGTTGAGAATGTGAGAATGAGGGGCATGATATAAAGGTACTTCAAAAAGTTTGCAGAAAAGTAGAATTAAAAGATAATACAAATCTTTCCATGAACTTTTTCTTTTTTCCACGAATTTTTGAAGCACCCTCGCACATAATAGGTGCTTGGGGAGAGGGAGGAGTTGCTAGGATGAGGCAGGAAGGCTCGGAAAAGGAGGTGGGATGTCTGCCAAGAATACACTTAAAACTTTTCCTGGACTTGACCCAGGTTCAGTTGGCCCAAGATCCGATGCCTTGCAGAAGTGAAGTGGATGGTAGCTTTTGTCATGGGAAAGATTTAAGAGACTCTGGAGAGACTACTCTAATTCACTGTATTTCTCCCAAATTTTACTTTTTCATTTCATCCAAAACTCTATCCATTTAAGCTTGCTTATGTTAACAAACTTTTTAAATTGCAAATACTCTTGGGAGAGCTGTCAGTCATTCACAATTTAGTAAGATCTGTATTCAGAATGCCTTCCTCCAAGCACTTAGGCTGAAATCAGCCACAGTGTGGTGGTAGAATTTTAATAAGCAGAGGCACGTAAAGTGAGGGAGTGCTGACAGCAGAGGAGGAAGAATAGAAAATGGGATGGGGGGTGGGGCAAACATGCTAAAATGGAGAGAGATTTATAGAATGCTGCCAAAGACCTTCCAGCTAGGTTTACTTCACCATTTTATATAGTTGGCCTGAAGGTTAATATTGGAAATAGAGCTCTGATTGCAACAGAGAATTAGAAGGTGTTCTTCTTGAACACTCAGAGAAAGTGTGGGTATTCCATTTCCTTACACTCTCCAGCAGAAGACAAAGCAGGAAACAAATGTGGCACTTACCTAGTTTGATCATAGAGTTGATAAATCTCTGGATACAGAACTAGAAAGGAACCAACAAATCTACAGTCAGTATTACTGAGCTGTGGCAACAATATAAGGAATTAAAATCTACAGTCAGTATTACTGAGCTGTGGCAACAATATAAAGAATTTAGAAGTCAAATTACAGAAACCCTAAAAAGTTTGCACACCTTAGTTTTCTGAAGGTCTTTCAGGTTGGAGAAAAATAGCCAAGTGAGGATGGCCGAGATCCATCCAGGATAAGGTAAGATCTCTTCATACATATAGGTTTTACAGAATAGGCCTGTACAGAAAAGAAGCTCCAATGATAGAACTGTACACGAGAGTAAAGGTGGGGAACGCACCCCTTATCCGTCTAGCTTACATAGGTAAACTTAGTGAGTGCAGTAGTTTTTGAACTGGGGTACACATACTTCTGGGTACCTTCCAAGAAACATAACATGCACCTGGCTAAGGCTAATGTTTATGGGAATCAATTTCTAGATCCTCAACTTCCATAAGTGCTATTTTCTTTTTTTTTTTTAAAAGATGACCGGTAAGGGGATCTTAACCCTTGACTTGGTGTTGTCAGCACCACGCTCAGCCAGCGAGCGAACCGACCATCCCTATATGGGATCTGAACCCGGGGCCTTGGTGTTATCAGCACCACACTCTCCCGAGTGAGCCACGGGCCGGCCCCATAAGTGCTATTTTCTGAAATTGATCAGTATAAGAATTCACACGTAATAGAGGTGCAGATTGTCATTTTATATTTCTCCTCTCATAATCCTTCTTCTGCTTTTG